GATTTATCATGTAATAGATCGAATCAAAGCTTAGTCAGTTAAGGAACATTAAGACATGGAAAGGATTTGTTGACTCCATCAAAAATATCACAAAAGAATTGAAACAAGTGTCTGAACTAGCAGTAGCCAGACAAGGAGAGATGAAAGGCAATGCTGCACAGCAGCTTCTTGTTGCTGCACATACTGAACTCAAGCAATGCAATAAAATACTAATAACATCAACTAAAGTAAGCAGCAACCTTATAGTTATTATTATTTTCTTATTATATAGATATTTCTTGAGCACCCAGAAGACCCACATGCTCAAGAGAACAGAGATTATGTGATCCAGAGAATGCAAGAAGCAGTCAAGACAATATCAATGCTAGCGGATGGAATGGACCCTCTTGAAATACAGCAAAAGCAGACCGATGATGAAGAAGAACAAGAAAGTGAAGATGAATTTGAGCCCATACCACCACCACCTCCTCCTCCTCCTACTCTACACTTGTCCTTGCATGCTCAACCTCCTTTGCCTCCATCACAAGCTCCTCCTGCTAGTAAACCTCTTGTTCCAAGGGACCCATCATCCCCTCCCCCTCCTCCTCATATCCCAAGAGAACTTGGAAAGAAAATACAAACGTTTGAAGTAAGCTTATGGTCCTTAGGTGTTTTTAATAAATAATACACTTATAGTCAATGTTGGAGATTAGTATGGGGTCTCCTCCGGTTGAAGCACCTCGGGATCTTCAAGCTGGCTTTGATATAATAATGGCTGCAGCTGCAAACCTTGCTGCTTCAGAATCAACAAGGTGTATATACTAGTAATTCATTATTATGCATATTTATAATTCAGGGATCAGCATGGTCTGTTAGCACAATGTGATGTTGTGCGTGAAAAACTGCAGGACTTTATATCAGTTATTAAGACAGAGCCAATTAGTGAGAAGAAAGATGCTGAAGATAAAGATAGCAGTGATGATGAAGGAAGCAACGTACCCAAACCACAGAGACTGAAGCAAAGCATTACTGTAGTTGAAGAAGAAACAGCAACCCTTAGAGCAGAGGTATTCCATTAACACTATATTTATTGCTTATTAGCACTATATTTATTGCTAATATTTATTCTTTATATTATAGCTTAGGAGAGCTATGATTGATCATGTTTCTGATACTTTTGTTGATCCATTAGCACCACTGGTCAGGCTAGTGGATGATGCATCCAAAGGTGACACAGTGGCAGTGGAAGAATCTTCTGCTCAATTTGTAGCACACGCTGACAAATTAGCCCACGTAAATGATAATAATCATTGAAAGTAGTATTATGTAATATGTATAGGTAACTAATTTGGTATGCTCACTAAGCAGTGATAATGCTGATACACGTCTAGTTAGAAGAGCTGCTAAACAAATGAACTCACTTAAGCAACAGGTAAAATTAAAATACCCGTCACTACAATAATACAAATGAATCACTTACTGTAGGTTGTTTGTGCTGCAAAGACACTGGCAGCTCATCCAAAGAGTGAAGCAGCTAAGAAGAACCTCACAGCATTCAAGGAAGCTTGGGTTGATAAAGTTACTTTACTCACTGACTCACTGGATGCTGTCATCCCTCTACAGGATTTCATTGCAGTGACAGGTACTGTGACCTAGTGTCTGTCAATAAATATTTATTTTTCTTTCAGAGGCTCATGTTCGTGAAGATAGTCGACATTTCATGGAAATGGCAGAGAGTCAGAACTTTATTGGAACTGCTAACAGTGGTAATGTAATCCAGGGCCGATGTCAGAGAATGGTCCAAGTTCTTTTTGCTGATATTGGGAACAATCCATCGCGATACTCACACGAGCATGTACATGAAATAGAGCAGCATACGAAGAAACTTCAAGAACAAAGTATGAGAACCTAAGCACATGCTGTTCACTATTAATATTGCACTAGCACTGGTTGAGTTTCAGAAAAAAGTTGCCGAGCTGCCAAAGAAGCATGGAACTAAGTATTACAATTCTGAAGTTCAAAAACTTGAAGACCATCTTCAACTCGTGAGGATAATTATTCGCAATATAAAGATACTTTCTCTTTTTGTACTTTTAGATCAATGACAGTGTAAGAGACATCAGGAAGAGTGTGCTGAAAACAAGAGTAATTTAATAATAAATATTATATACAAAAGATTATTTTTTTTATTTATAGACAAAGGCAGAATTAGAAGCAGAGCCTGATGCTGATGATATAATGTCTCCTGCCCCAATGACCGCATCTTCATCAGACATTGACATATTCTCAAATCAAGGTGCTGTAATCTCATTTAACACTAGTAGTAACTCTCATGCTTACAGGAATGAGACCACCCAGCCCTATTCTGAGAAGAGGAGATCAAATGAATTCGCCACCTTCCCCCTCATGGCCACTTGATATAGTGGTCGAAGAGGTTGAGATGTCACCGGATGAATATAAGAGATATTTATCAGCAACCAGTACACAGATGAGCAGCACTGGGCAACTCCTTGAAGATATCATGGAGGAGAACGAGGATGATGGTAACAACTCTTCTGCAACTACCTCTTGCTCTTCGTTCATGAAACCTGAGGATGATGAAGGCCCCAAGAAATCTGGAGAGGTTTCAGAAACAGCAGAAGCAGGAGGGGACACTGATGGCCTCACAAAGATATCAGACGATACTTACATGACTAATACTATAAGAAGAAGGATAATCAAGCGTACACCTAGTGTGGTTGTTCTTAACGAGAGCGAAACTGCTCAGGTAATATTTTAACAAGGCTCTATACCTTTCAGTTCTTGTGTAGGCAAAAATGGCTCAATTGCCAGCCCATGAAAGAGCAAGGATTGCAGAAGCTCAGCAGAAGCTTGATGTAGTAAAGAATAAGTAAGGAGAATCCTTGCTTGTATTGTAATAAGTATTATTATAACAGGCTTGAATCAGAAGTGAATAAGTGGGACGACAGTAGTAATGATATTGTACTATTAGCTAAAGAAATGTGCTGGATGATGATGGATATGAGCGATTTTACAAGGTAAGAATTATAGCACATGTACTTCCTTTCAAACCTCTTTCCCTCTCTTTTTATAGAGGAGAAGGTCCACTTAAGACAACAATTGATATTACTAACACAGCCAAGGTTATTCATGCTCTTTGCCACTTGCTTACTTTTCCTTTTATAGGACATTGCAAGGGCTGGTCAAGCTTTAGAAAAACTGGTCAGAGAAGTAGCAGATAAAGTAAAATTTTATCATCATGCATCGTAGCTATTTTTACAATTATGTTTAGTGTCCTGATGAAAGCTGTCGTAAAGATCTTTTAGCTTACATGGAGAGGATGCAACTGTGCTGCCATCAGCTCAAAATAACAAGCTCTGTGTCTGCTGATCTTGGTGCATCAGTAAAAGAAGCTGTAAGAAATTAGATGAAATAATTATTACAGTATACTGCATGCAAGATATTTGATTGTTGCTGCTGTGTAGGTTGAAACTGCTAATAGCATGATCATAGCTGCCAAGAGTTTGATGACCACTGTTGTCCAAGTTGTAAAGAGCTGCTATGTAGCTTCTGTGGCTGTAAGTAATGCACATGCATAAGAGTAACGTCTCATTTTATGTATTATAGATTGAAAGGAAGGATGGATCGAAATCAGTACGTTAATTCATTTCAAGTTTTCACAGTGTCAAACACATGCATCTTTTAACTGTTGCTTTGCTGCATTACTATTTAATCTCTTGTAGGTTCATTTTATGCAGTGGCAGTTAATAAGGCCGCCTAAGAAAAAGCTAATGTACAGCCGTGAATCACTTAACTCTCAGGGATATTACAGGGAGACTCCTCGACACTCAATATCACCAATAAAGGAGCTTGGAGATTTTAAAGGGAGAGAGAGAGCAGGAGCTAGAATGGGAGAAAATGATTTTTTATAACACAAATGAAGCCTAATTTGCTACAATTTATAAATAATTATGTCAGCAATTTATAATGTGTCACAATTTTTTATTACAACAAGCAAAAATAGCCACACCAAATTAATATTCATAGTTCGGTGGGCGTGTGTCGTTATTGAACCTATTGTTTATCTAGCCTGATCTACACCTTTTTGGCAGTTTTTGCTTGAGTTTCTTTAATGGATACTGACCCTCCTTCTTTGAAAAGGTCCAGAGAGACCATTGAGAATGATGGGGCTTACATACCCGACAATGGCGGACCCCACACTTCGATAATATTCTCTTTGAACGATGAGAAGGGAGCCTTGGTCAATGCCTTAAAACCATTTGAAGTGAGAGAAAGGCTATTATAATGATAATGATTGCTTTTACCCCAGTCTTAATGATAATAATGATATTCTTGGTATCATTGTGTCATGTGTACACATGTACATGTATTATGTAAACAGGTGGCAGAATATTATGTGTTAATTTTTCATGGATCAATAACAAAAGAATTTATTATTAAACATAAAAACTATTATGAACACCAGCTGTACCTTATGTATATATTTTTAAATTAGGATCTCGGCATTAATATGACGCATATTGAGTCAAGGCCCTCTAAGAGCAAGCCGGGATTAAGTTATGATTTCTATGTTGATTGCAGCCTCACTAAAGAGCAGAGTGTCAAAATCATTGAGAGACTGAAAGCAACGGCTACTAATGTATCGATATTTTCTCGCTCGCCTGAAAAGGATGAGAGTCAGTTTTACAAGAAAAAAATGATATTTTCATAATCTGTTCTTTTTCTTTAGTCCCATGGTTTCCCAAACATATAAGTGATTTGGATCGTTTTGCTAATCAGATTCTGAGCTATGGCTCCGAGCTTGATTCTGATCACCCGGTATACTGATACTGATGATTGGTATTAGCACTAATTTTATATCAATGTATTACAGGGTTTTACTGACAAAGTGTACAGAGAGAGACGCAAGTTCTTTGCTGATATTGCTTTTAATTACAAATAGTAAGTCATACACATGCATTATAGAATATCTACGATAATTAAATTTCTTAATAAATGTATGTACTTAATTTCTGATTGCACATGCATTAAGTAAAGTCTGTTATACTTAATTCAATGCATTGTACTACAGTAGCAAGAGTTCAGTAAATATTAAAATGTTTTTTATTTGATATTTTTGTAGCGGTCAGCCAATACCACGTGTTGAGTATACTGAAGATGAGATTAAGACTTGGTGAGTATGCGTATGTTATTGTTAGTGTTATCAAGAGTAATTGGTGCTATTGTGTGTCTGTAATGCTGTTTGCAATAGTAATAATGGTAAAGAAGAAGATATTCCATTGATCATGTACTATCATATTACAGGAATTTTGGCCTAATTTTGCCAAAAATGAAAAGGAAAGAATCTGTCACTTTTATAATTTTTCCTGATACATATACATGTACTTATGTTGTATAGAAAGTTTGAGCTGATTCTGATTAAATTTGGATTTTTTATGAATTTTTAAAAGTTTCTCCAAATTGGTCCAAAGAACTATAGTACATCTAATTGTACATGTAACAGAAGTATTATTAATGTGATAGCAATTTTTAAGTTTTAGTATTTGTAATAATCTTATATCTGATTATTTAGGGGTACAATATTTCGTGAGCTGACAAAGCTTTATCCTACGCACGCTTGCAAAGAGCATAACCACGTCTTCCCATTATTGATTGAAAATTGTGGATACCGCGAGGACAATATACCTCAACTCCAGGACATTTCTGACTATTTAAAAAGTGATGAAATGCATACATGTACATGTACATGTATATGCTCACAAATTGAATTAGAGTTGACTCACACTCTACAGAAAATTTGCCTTTTTTGTCACACAGTCAAAAACGTTTAATATTTTGTTGGAATTGATTCAAGCATGGTGCATGTATCTTGCTTGTATTGTATAAACATTTTAAAATTAAAAACTTCTTTTATGGACACATTGTCTCTCTTTGTACAGAATGCACCGGATTTTCTCTCAGACCTGTCGCTGGTCTCCTTTCTTCAAGAGATTTCTTGGCAGGTTTAGCTTTCAGGGTATTTCACTCGACCCAGTACATACGTCACGGCTCAAGGCCTATGTACACACCAGAACCGTTAGTTATTAACTAGTTATTAACAGTTATTAATATTTATTGATACTAGTGACGTCTGCCATGAGCTGTTGGGTCATGTACCTTTGTTCTGTGATCCTGAATTTGCTCAGTTTTCTCAAGAGATTGGGCTCATATCTCTCGGGGCTCCTGATGAATTTGTTGAAAAACTGGCAACAGTAAGTACATGTACAGTGTACCTTGTACTAAACTACTACCCAACACTAATACGTGTGTGTATGGAAAAGACTTTCGAGCCAGTTGTGCTGTTGTGGTTGTTTGTATGATTTCTGTGGGCCAGCATACAATTGTTGTAGAGTTAGGCCTGGCTTTATCTCACCGATTGTTGTAATAGTGTGTAAGACTGTTGTATGGAGACCATGCAGGCTTTAGGGGATTTAGTGAAGGATTTTTAAGATGCTAAAAAATTAAATTTAATGTAATAGTAATAGCTTAATAGTTAGGGCCAAACTCCCAATGCATGCTGAAATTAGTACGTGTGCATGTGGTTGTTTCCTAGTGTGTATTCATTCATTTCACTGCATTCATTCCATTGTGATTTGTGAACATTGATGATGATATGTGGAATGAGTGTTTGTAAGTTGATATTATGGTTCATTGTATAGTGCTATTGGTTCACAATTGAGTTTGGGTTGTGCAGACAAAATGGAGAGATTAAAGCATATGGAGCTGGTCTGCTGTCCTCATTTGGAGAATTGAAGGTATATGTGCATGTACATGTAACCTGGTAACACAGGTACACCTGTATTATTTGATTCTATCTCTCCCTCTCTCTCCCCCTCTCTCTCTCCTAGTATTGCTTGAGTGATGTTCCAAAAGTGTTACCATTTGATCCAGCTAATACAAGTATTCAGAAGTATCCCATAACAGAAATGCAACCTGTGTATTTTCTTGCTGAAACGTTTCAAAATGCCAAGGAGAAATTAATGTAAATGATGGAGTTTATTATCAAGTTTTATTGCTATTTTTATTTTTAGTGAATGGGGTAAAACTATCCCAAAGTCTTTCACGCTTCGTTACAATGCCTATACTCAACGAGTGGAAGTACTCAATTCTAAAGACTCCATTAAGAAGCTTGCCAGTGACATTAAGTACCAGGTGTCTATTCTTGATGAAGCTGTCAGGAAATTTTAAAAACTTTAACAACAGGAGAAAATTTATGCTGCTTGTCATTGTACACCTTATTTATCAATGCTATTTTTTGCTGAATGATCCCTTCTTTTTAAAGCAAAATGAATTTAATTCAAAATTTCAAATTACAATAATAAAAAATTGCTGAGTCCGCTGACGTCATAAAAAGGTGCGGCATTTTTTTGGCTATATAACTGCGCATGCGCACAACTTTATCTCAACTCGTCAGGTCAACTGGTCGACTGATTTTTGGCAGTTAAAACTGAAGCTCTTTCTCTCTTTGTGTTCTCATCAAACAAGAAACAAGCAATGTCCTCAAAGCGCCCAGCTTGCTTTTCCCAGCTAGAAGAATACGCTAAAAAGACACAGCCCGTAAGTTCCTTTCCTTTTGCAAACAAACTTTCTATTTCTTGCAGGGCGAGGTCCTCACCACCACGCATGGCAATCCAATCGATTTCAAGACAGCCATCCAGACCTTTGGCCCTCGGGGGCCTATGCTAATGCAAGATGGTGTCTATTTGGACGAGATGGCTCATTTTGACAGAGAGAGGATACCGGAGAGAGTGGTACACGCCAAAGGAGCAGGTAAGGCAACCGCCACATGCTATAGAAAGATAGAGCCATCTTGCGTGGGTGAAAATTAGCTGTGATTAAAGATCCCTTTTGCCATGAATAATCTGAACCCTTCATTTGTTTGTTGCATCTAAACCTGTGTTAAGTATATACAGCCTGCAAACTTAAAGGTGTTGATTAATATGCTGCATGTATGCTTGGAGCTGTCTCCTACCATCTGACCTTTATATAATATTATTCAATCATGAATGTGATGTCTATGTTGCTCCACATTACTTAATCAATGGACCTACTGCACATGTAAAGTCTGGGCCATTGTAATCAACAGAATGTGGTACTATTATTACACTGTAGCACTGCATCTGCTAGTCTGTTTAGTTTAAAGGGGCTAGCTGGTAATTATAGGTATTGTATGTAAATTGTCTATGTTTTGACTGTTCTTGTACAACTTCCCTTATATAGAGTGAACCCTCTTTATAAAATTACTTTAATCAGTAGTGACGCTCCTCTAATGTACCCTGTCTCCTACTATCATGCTTTGTTTTCTTTTTTGTTGTGCAATAGAATGTAATTTATAAATTGTTGGCTTGTCATTATTATTACTATTATGTAATGATGGAGTCAGGAGTAGAATGTTTAGAGTGAACTCTCTTTATAAAATTACTTTAATCAGTAGTCATGCTCCTCTAATATACCCTGTTTCCTACTATCATGCTTTGTTTTCTTTATTGTTGTGCAATAGAATGTAATTTATAAATTGTTGGCTTGTCATTATTATTACTATTATGTAATGATGGAGTCAGGAGTAGAATGTTTAGAGTAAACTCTCTTTATAAAATTACTTTAATTAGTAGTCATGTGCTCCTCTAATATACCCTCATGCTTTGTTTTCTTTATTGTTGTGCAATAGAATATAATTTATAAATTGTTGGCTAGTGATCTTGTATTACTATTATGTAATGATGTAGTCAGGAGCATATTGTATAATATATTATAATGTTGTAGCTTTGTAATTGATTTTTAAATATTCTCTGTCAGGTGCTTATGGTGTATTTGAAGTGACGCACGACATCACAAAGTATTGTTGTGCCAAGCTATTCTCAGAAGTAGGGAAGAAGACAGATTTGTTTATCCGTTTCTCTACAGTTGGTGAGTATGATCTTTAAAGAGATATGCCCTTTATGCCTTGTACAGGTGGAGAGAGTGGCAGTGCTGATACTGCAAGGGATCCTCGTGGCTTTGCCGTAAAGTTTTACACCGAAGATGGAAACTGGGATTTAGTTGGTAACAACACACCGATATTCTTCATCAGGGATCCTTTCCTTGTAAGAATTAATACTGATAATGTGCTTGAGAATATCTCTCTCTTTTAGTTCCCAAGCTTCATTCACACTCAGAAGCGTAATCCTGTTACTCATCTTAAGGTTTGTATCTTGTATGTGTTACAGCATTCATTTCCTTTTAACAGGATCCTGACATGTTTTGGGATTTCATCAGTCTGAGGCCCGAGACCACTCATCAGGTTTCATTCCTCTTCTCTGATCGTGGTATCCCTGATGGCTATCGTCACATGAATGGCTATGGCTCTCACACTTTTAAACTTGTAAATAGCAAAGGAGAGCCAGTCTATTGCAAGTTCCATTACAAAGTAAGAAAAGAACCGATCCTCTCTCTGTGTATTATTTCTCTTCCATTTTAGACCGATCAAGGTATAAAGAACATGCCTGTTGGCAAGGCTGCTGAACTTGCTGGAACAAACCCTGACTATTCCATTCAGGATCTTTATGAGGCAATCGCCACTGGAAACTTTGTAAGTGAAGTCATTAGCTTATTTAATGTGTATGATAATGTCTATCTAACAGCCATCATGGACTCTCTCAATTCAAGTGATGACGTACGAACAAGCAGAGAAGTGCAGCTTCAATCCTTTTGACTTGACAAAAGTCAGCATTTAATGTTAATACTAATACTTAATGTTATTGTTTTATAGGTGTGGCCACATGCTGATTACCCCTTGATCCCTGTTGGTAAGATAACGCTGAACAGAAATCCTTCCAATTACTTCTTTGATGTTGAGCAGTCTGCATTCTCTCCTGCTCACATGCCACCAGGCATTGAAGCATCGCCCGATAAAATGTTGCAGGTATACAATGGTATAGGAGGTAGACAGGACTTTATTATTGGTCCCACCTCTTTCCTTAGGGTCGTCTGTTTTCTTACGATGATACTCATTTTCACCGTCTTGGTCCAAACTTTCAAATGATCCCCGTCAACTGTCCTTACGCTGGAAAGCCTCGTAACTATGTTCGTGATGGGCCTATGTGCGTTGATGGAAACCAAGGTGATAGGAATAATTATTATTTTCATTCTTGATTATCATTAATTAATGCTTCTGTAGGTGGAGCTCCCAACTATTATCCCAACAGTTTCAATGGGCCAAAGGATATGGGAAAACATGACGTTACAATTTTCCCTGGAGTAAGGAAATGACAATTAATCTAATCTCTCATCTCTTTCTTTTTTAGCCTGCTGGTGATGTGAAGCGCTATAATGCTGCAGATGATGACAATTTCTCTCAAGTAAGCGGAATAATTCATGATGGATTTATTCTCATCATTATGCTTTAGGTTGGTATCTTTTACAATAAAGTACTCAATGAGGAGGAGAGGACACGTCTTGCTCAAAACATTGCTGGTCATATGAAGAATGCCAGTCCAAAGATTCAGGAGCGTGCTGTGAGTATAGCAACCCCCCCTCTCTCTCTCTCTTTTTACCCTCTCTTTCTCTCTCCTTTCTTAGATTGCCAACTTCTCTAAGGCTGATCCTGATTATGGCGCTCGCATTAAGAAGTACATCTCTCAATAAAAGTAAAGAACAAGTAATAAATAAACAAGTGTTGTTATCAATTCATTCTTTTATTTCTACAGCTGCTACATTGAAGATCTCTGCTGAATTGAATTGAACTACAATAAAGAACACTAACACTTTATTATTATTATGTTTTTTGTTTGTGTGCTTGTCTTGCAATCTTGCTGCACCTTTACTTGTTAATTTAGCTTTCAGATTTTCTTTTTGGTAGATATAAAATCATTAAATAAGGTGGCACACCAAGCATTGCTCCCCCTAGGAGCAGATGAAGCATAGTTTGAAACTAAAGACAATAAAGCATTATTATATATATATAATTAAACTGGGTAATTAATTTATTCTAATACCGTCGAGTGTGGTTTGGAGCTCTGCTGGGGGACAACATCTGTTGGTGTAACTTTATTTCGTCTCAAAATAAAACGAGGGGAGAAGAACTGACGTGCCGTAGCAACAAGCATCTTGGAGTTTCTGACGCAATTGAGTGAGAACTATTGCACATTAACGCCATCCAATCACAGTACAAATAGCCAAATAAGCATCGTGAGTATTGCTTTGAGTTAATTCACACTTCTGAGGTGTAAATGAAATGGGATTACAGCTCAAATCTGTGAAACTTGCTGTGTAGCTAGCTGGAGATCTTTGGAGAGGTAAATTTTGGCAAATTGCAGAATTCTTCAGTGGTGATTGGTGGGTTTTAATTTATCAAATTTGTGGCTATGTGCCATTGAGCATGCACAGTCATTCAAAAGGGTTGCAGGTTTTATTTTGGCGAATAGCAGCTATCAAAGCACCAAATTCTCTCCCTTTAAAATTACCAACTATATATACAATAATCATTGTCAATGTGGTCTCCTCGGCTTTCCGTCATCACTGACATAAAAGAATCCAATTACATTTATGGACTAAAACTTAGCTGCCGAAAAATAATTATTAGTGAATGCTAGTAGTGGTGTGATTTAGCCTAGCTAATTTACTAGCACTAATGCACTACACTATAAACTATTATTAACATATTTTTCATACAAGCAGTCACGTACAGTACAACTTAGTTGCCTGAATGAATGCTAGTAGTGGTGTGATTTAGCCTAGCTAATTTACTGGCGCTAACGCACTACTATAAACTAATATTTTGTTAATCTAACATATTTTTCTAAAAAGTAGTCACGCACAGTCATACAATCTAGTTAGCAGCTTTGATAAGTACTTATGCTCTGATCACTGATAGCATGTTTTAGCTTATTAGTTTCTTTGGTGTGTCACTATAATTACTACTTTACACAATTATAAATTTCTTTCTCATTAGACTGTCATGCTGCAGACTATTGAATTACCAGCGAGACTAGATGCACAATTATCATTATCCTAATCCCACTCAGTAATGCTATGTATGTATAGTCCTCACTGATGTCCTATTAGTCATACCAGTGCAGTCAGCTAAACTCAATTCAGAGGTGTTTGTAGGTTTTTCTCAAGACTTGTCTTTACTTGCATAAAATTTAACCAGGTTAGTCTGGCTAGCCTGTATTCCCCATGCAGTGTCAATATTAGCTACATGCATTTGCAAGTCATTTATAGCAATATTCTACATAGCAACATGCATTTGCAAGTCATTTATAGCAATATTCTACATAGCAACATGCATTTGCAAGTCTTTTATAGCAATATTTACAGAACAACTTTGCATTATTATCTTTGTATAGACTTTATGAGACACAAAGTGAGACACAACATTGACTTAATTATTGTAAACTCCCATCCACATAATCAAAGATACATAACATTGATTATTCGTGTTCAACATTAATTATTCGTGTTGAACATTATTATTGAGAATTAACTCATTACACCACATTAGGTTGATTAAGTAAAGCAGATGATCTAAGACCTACTGACATTAACTAATTTGTTTTGAACATAATTATTAAGAATTAAATTCATTATACCACGTTATGCATTAAGTAAAGTAGATTATCTGGCTAGACTACATTTATGTACCGGTAGTTTAGTCAGATAGGTCTCAGTACTTTTACTTTATTTAAATAATTATAGTTTATCATATCCTCTCATGACACTCCCATTTCTTTAGCTAAGATCATAGATGATGAATTGATGATTGGATTCATTCCGCCCCCACACACACTACATACATATCAATTTATATTGCAGTAATTATTTTAGCCATCGCGCGTCCTATCAGCCCCGCCCTTGCAAGGAGAAAGAATCCAAGTGAAGTATAAAAGTAGAATGTACGGTAGATTTTATGACAGGAGAGAGCTGGATATGTCGTCTCAAGAGTTACAAGAGGTGCCAATTTCATCTGTTGATGGAGAAAAAGAGCAAGCCACAGCTGATGCTCCAGAAAAAAAGGAAGATGAAGAGCAATCACCAAAAGAAGCCATTATAAGGTATCTACAAGCTTTACTACTAACTATTTACTCCTTTATAGCATCTGCAGTGTGCCAGAAGGCCCGGTTCTTCGCCAAAATACTTCCTCTTTGCTGGTGGCATGTTTTGGAGAATTTTTTGGAACATGGTTGCTAACTCTTGGGATTTGCACTTCAGTGGCTGCAGCTGCAATTGCAGGTTAGCTTATCTTTTAATTTTTGAAACCATCACTTCTCTCCCTTCTTTTATTTAAAAAGGAGCGCAGTCTGCTATATGGCATGTAGCATTTCCAGGTGGTCTTGGTGTTGCAATCTCAATATGCATATCAGCCCACTTCTCCGACGCTCATCTCAATCCAGCTGTGTCTCTTGCTTTTGCTGTCATACGATTCAAAAAATTTCATTGGTTCCGTTTGGGTCCATATATTCTTGCTCAGTTCCTTGGGTCTCTGTTTGCTGGCCTCACTGTCTTCATTGCTTATCGAGGATCTATCAATGCATTTGAAGATGCTCGTAACATCACTAGAGGAGAGCCTGGAAGTCAGTTGTCCGCAATGGCATTTGGAGAATATTTCCCGAACCCTGCTGTCTTCAATCCTAATGAGTTTACTGGGATTACATCAGTTTTTGAGGCTTTCCTGATTGAAACTTGGGGTACATTTATACTCGTATTCGTTATATTCAGTGTTACTCACCCAAGCAATGCTATCATATCTAATAACAAGGGATTGATACCATTTGTCATTGGTCTAACCGTTGCTATACTTATCAGCGTCTATGGCCCACTTACTATGGCTGGTCTCAATCCAGCTAGAGATTTTGGGCCACGAGTAATTGCAGCTATCGCTGGCTGGGGAACCATAGCCATACCGGGCCCGAGGAATGGTTTTTGGCTGTACATCGTTGGTCCTTTCATTGGTGGAGTACTTGGAGGAGGTGCTAGTGATTTAGCTCTCTACTGCATGAAACGTTTCAAGAAATAAAGAGCTGCCTTTTATGAACCCGTATACTTTTAAATGTGTGCTAATTTAAATCACAGTCTATTTTATTATTTAGTTCTCAGAACTTAGAAATTATATTTTAAATACATTCTTTCGAGTTTAATTAATTTTAAATTTATTCATTTTGATTTACTCCACCTTTCAAAAATTAAAATAATTATATTTTGTGTTTGCATTTTGTGAATTTTCAAAGTCGCCACTACCACGGTAACATTGCCGTACAGTAACAATGGAAGAAATAGGTTTAGAACCAGAGCGCATTTCATCAGAAGATTATTATCTCTCGTCCCTCTCCTGCAGTCTAAGAGTAGGCAAAGAAGAAGTGATATCCAACGACCTGTTTTCAATAACAGGAGATTTGGATTTTCCAAGTAACCTCGAAGACTCTCCTGAGAAAATGAGCACCTACTGCAACAGCAGCAGTCCTGGGTTGTCTTTCAGTCATCCCCCAAACTATCTTGACCAGCAAGACATACAAATGATAGAGAATCTTGCAGTAGCACATGAAGATGAAGAAGAAGACCGTTATGAAGAGCTAGATTTGACCAATGAAGGTACTTACATAAGAGAAGTACTAATAGGACCTTCGCATCCTCGGCTACCATTAATTGAGGGAGCACTAGGCTCTTTATCAGGACCTGTTAATACACAGCTTCTGTACGATGCAGTTTTATACAGCATGCAAGCAGTGGATGTGCTAATAATGGAACTGATTAAAATGATATCGCTAGATCCAGCAAACAGGAGGTTACAGGCTGGGCTGGATCTTGAAGCTGAGCTCATGGAGATGGAAGAGATAAGCAGCAGCAGCCATCGCCACAAAGAGCAACAAGTTAGCAGAAGAAAGAGTCTAGCCAGTCACTGCCTCCTAAGACGAAGAAAGGGAAGGCAACAGAATACAATAAAAAAGAAAACAAAAGGAAAGAGAGAGAAAACGTCACCGGCTAGTCAAAAGCTACTTAAGGAATGGTTATTCTCTCATAGTCGCTGTCCATATCCTACAGAAGATGACAAGCAGAACCTTTGTCGAATGACGGGACTCTCACTGCAACAGTTAAACAACTGGTTTATTAATGCAAGGAGACGTATATTACCACAGAAGAAAACTAAATAACAACAATAATAATAACAATAATAATGACAAGAGTAAGTGAGTATTAGTGCTGCATGTTGTACAATAATAATAATAATAATAATAATTGTCATTAATTTAAAAATAACCCTTGAACAAGTGATAGAGGCAATGGTAGTGATGATCAGTTCACTATGTTACTTTTTCCAAGTCATGGTTTGAGTCTGGGGTGGTATGGGAATCAGACTCTTCATCAGACATACCCTCATTTTGCATTTCCTACATCTTAGATTGATACAATACAAATAGGATGATTGTCCTTACCCGTAATTCTTCTAGTATTTGATCAACAAGATCTTGTGATGTCTCTTTATAGGCTAAAGCAGCTCTCGTAATGTCTCTAAAGGCCTATTAATTAGTACATGCATTCTAAACAAAATTAATAAAACCAAACATTCTAATTATAAAATACCCTGTACTATAGGTACAGGGTATTTTGGCCCGGTTTTTGAGTAACTTCAAAAATTCATAAAAAATCCAACTTTGATAGGAATCCACTCAAACTTGATACACAACATAAGAACATGTATATGTATCACATAAACTTATAAAAATGGAGAATTCTCTCCTAGTCATTTTTCGTGAAATTTGGCCAACCACCTTGTACTATAGTACAGGGACTTTGGCCTGATTTCGAAGCAACTTTAAAAATTCGTAAAAAAATCTAAATTTGATTGGAATCTGCTCAAACTTGATACACAACATAAGAACATGTATATGCATCACATAAACTTATAAAAATGAAGAATTCTCTCCTAATCATTTTTCATGAAATTTGGCCAACCACCTTGTACTTAGGCCTAATTTCGAAGCAACTTTAAAAATTCGTAAAAAATCTAAATTTGATCAGAATCCACTTAAACTTGATACACAGCATAAGAACATGTATATGCATCAAATAAACTTATAAAAATGGAGAATTCTCTCCTAGTCATTTTTCGTGAAATTTGGCCAACCACCCTGTACTGTAGTACAAGGACTTTGGCCTGATTTTGGAGCAACTTTAAAAATTTGTAAAAAATCCAACTTTTATAGGAATCTGCTCAAACTTGACACACAACATAAGAACATGTATATGCATCACATAACCTTATAAAAATTAAGAATTCTCTCCTAATCATTTTTTGTGAAATTTAGCAAACCACCCTGTACTATAGTACAGGGACTTTGGCCTAATTTCGGAGCAACATTAAAAATTCATTAAAAAATCTAAATTTGATTGGAATCTGCTCAAACTTGATACACAACATAAAAACATGTATATCCATCACATAAACTTATTAAAATGAAGAATTCTCTCCTAGTCAATTTTCATGAAATTTGGCCAAGGACCCTGTATCATAGTACAGAACTTTGGCCTGATTTCGGAGCAACTTTAAAAATTCATAAATCAATATCCAACTTTGATGAACTTTCTACACAACATGCATATGCATCAGAAAATGGAGAATTATCTTCTAGTAATTTTTGACAAAATTAAGCCAAACAACATAAAGAGTTAATAAAATTTTGATTTAAACTTTCTGCATTAAAAATAAAAACACATGCACATATACATGCCTAGAAATGCAATAAAGTGGAGAAGATAATAAACTTAAACTTTCTACAAAGACATTGATAATTAGATACAGAGCCAGTTTTTCAGATGCTAATGATAAACATAACATACTCAGTCACTTCATATATAGATATTAATACCAGTAGCTACCTTCACAACGTTAGTTCCATCACGTGCTGACACGAAATAAAATGGCAGTTTGTGCTTTGAAGCAAACTTAAAACTAGTCTTTGTTACTTTCATGTCAACTACAGAAAAAAACAGAGGTGTTAACCATTAATCACATCCTCACATTTATTTACCATCTATCTTGTTAGCTAAAAGTATGCAGGGGATCTTTGGGCGGGACTCACGTAACTCGCTGTACCAATGCGCCAAGTTCTTGTACGTTATTTTACGCGTGACATCAAAAACCTGAACAAAGGAAAGAAACAGTGCCATCGCTAAAATAAGTGATAATAGCAGCTTAATCATAATTAATTACCAAAATTTATAAATAATTAACAAATTCCATGATAAACAATAATTTAAAACATGCTTTCTCTTCTGTTATAACATAAAACGTTTTTTAGTTAAAATTATTACTATTTAATTTGTCAAACACATAACACAAAATATGCATGTACGTGTGATCTGATTTACCAGAATGCAACCATGAGCTCCGTGATAATACGAAGGATGCATTGACTGAAAACGTTCTTGTCCAGCCGTGTCCCATAGGTCTATTGGTGGGTGTGGTGAACTGGGTGTGTCACAATAATAACTAACATACCAACAGATATTGTCCTATCGTTGATTTCAGCTTTGTGAGCAAAGAGAGTCACAGCATAAGTTGAGTGTCGCTGTGGTTTACTGAAAGAGTAAGAGTTAATGATAATAACAATGAAAAATAATCAAATTAAGTGAAAATAGAGTAAGGATACAATTTGTCCATTAAATATCTTTCTACTAGCCTACAAGAAAGAAAAATATGTTGTATATCTTCAGAGACACTGAAAAACTATCTTGCTTACTTTGATTTACCAACTGCACTATCTCCCAGGCATATTATCTTGATATCAGACTGTGAAGACGGATCACTTGAATCCATACTTGAAATAGCCGCCATTGAACACACCCATGGGCGTGGTCAGAATAAATTAAGCCACGCCTCTAAGATGGCTGCTTTTTGCAAGAGGATAATGACCAGAGGAATATTCTCACTTGGAAAGTTGCAGCAATGCAAGGCCCTGGCATCAGAGTCCTCTCCAACAATATTTTCAAAAATAATTTCAAAAGAAATTCCAGCAGATATTTTATACGAGGATGATCAAGTAATGAAGTTTTTGTGTGGATGCTCCATAAAATGCTTTCTTTCTAGTCTTTGGCATTTAAAGACGTCAATCCTGTTGCCCCGACTCATTTCTTAGTCATACCAAAAAGGCAAATTCCTATGCTCTCTCAAGCTAAGCAATCTGATAGTCAAGTGAGCTAAAAATTAAATATTATTTTTTTACACAAGGCTGCTTCAATATATTATTTAGCTGTTGGGGCATTTACTTAGCGTAGCACGAGAGGTAGCAGATAAAGAAGGATTGACTGATGGTTATCGTGTCGTTATTAATAATGGAAAGCAAGGCTGTCAGTCAGTTTATCATCTTCACATTCACGTTTTAGGAGGGAGACAGATGACATGGCCACCTGGCTAAATATGAACTATAACAATTACACAAATAATGAGACATCCATTGTAGATCTGTATATAATTATGTTTGATTTGTTGTGACTCATTCATTATTGCGTTGATATCTGAACAGACCAAGACTCTTTATCGAAACTAATACTAAAGGGTTTTGATATACTTCTAGAAAATTCCCTGAAATAATGATTTAAAACAAAATAATAGCAGATTATTTATTATAATGCTTACGTCATTTTATTTTTGACCTCTTGTATACTCTGTGCAATAAAGTAGTACGGCTGTAAGCCAGTTTCTGGATATGTAGCCAAAACTGCTTCTGAACATATAAGTGGCTTTCTTTCAGCTTTTTCACTCACACAATGCTATGCAACATGAAAGACCATAATAATAATAACAATAATAATAATAGTAATAATACATTTACAAATAAGCAGTAAAATAAAAATGAGCATATCATACTACCTCAATCTCTTCACATGATGATAAAAGTCCAGCACCATATGCTTTAGGCTTCCCATTCTCCCAAACCAACCCAAACTCGACAGTAAACCAATAGAGCTGTGCATTGTTAGATCAGTACATAATATTTCATGTTGAATTGTTAATGTTAACTCACAGTGGACAGCTTTGTAATCCATTCATCGCTGGCACCTAATGAAGCTAATCCTAAGTCCTACAAAAAACTAGAATAAATAAATCTTTGTTAATGCAATCCCATTACCTGTGAGAAGTCGGCAAAGTCTGGATTACAGAACAAAGGTACATGTCCCAGCAACTCATGACAGATATCTCTATTAGAAAAAGCTCTATGTGGTTATTATGTGTCCCTTTCTTACGGTTCAGGCGTATACTGTGGTCTTGAATGATGCCTAATATATTGTGTACATGGAAATATACGAAATGCTAAGAGAGCGAGGAAATCCCTTGAATGTATCCAACCTACTACAGGGCAAAGCTGATACCCAGTCCTTCCTATAATGAGAAATAAACTCCAAATAGCAATAACTTGGTTGCATACCTTTCAAGTATTTTGAGACAGCGTCTAACTGTGGTATAGCCCCAGCACTACAGCAAAAGTAATTTTTGAGGTATCTGTGATATACACATACCAATATCCAGCGTGTTCTTCAAGGAGTTTGATGCCTTCATTTTGTTCCATGCAAGCATTAGTAGGATAGTATTTCTTTTGATGGGTGTATATGTACTTCCTAAACAAAAGGTTACTCTAAACTGTGTATACAATGAAACTTACCAAGTTTCTAATTCTTGTTTAGTGTATTCTACATTTGGAATGTCATCACCTCTATGATTATTATTATTTAGTGATTAAAATGAATGCTCTAATCTGTACGGGTTCTTACACTTTATAATTCATAGCAATCTCAGCAAAAACCTTCCTTCTTTCAATGTACTCCAAATCACCATGTCCCTATATTATCATTAAAAGAGAGCCATCTCTTTATTAAGGTCCTTACAGGATGATCTTTAGATAGTTCTGATCCATACTTGTATAGTGCTTTACTACAACTTGCTACTTCATTGATGTCCCTTGGAAACCACACTATCCTCTCACTAAAGTTTTGATCTATAAACCAATTTAAACGCTGACCACGAGAGCAACAAAACATTTTCAAATAATTTCAAGCTTCTGTTTTACTATTCACAATTACTAACGTTGTTACGCATTGTTAGCTAATATTAATGACTTACTTGTCCATGTAATGGTGTAACCTTTCCCGATTAGTTGGCGCAGTGTCTCAATAGTGGTCACAGCATCAATGTAATCTAATGTAATCAAATATTCGAGTCTTTCCTTAGCAGAGGAGGATGGCCTTGACTCAACGTGTTTAAGAGTGTAGCCAAAACTCTGAATCAAAACGATTAGATATAAAAGTAGAGTAATTTGCATAAATCTTCGATATATTAATATTAGATCTATCATCATAAGCTTAAGGAACATACTTCTAACATTTTCAGGGCATTTATGAGGACAGAAAAGGCCTGAGTTGATGATGGCTTAGTCTCGGGTGCAGCCCCTTCAGAAGAAATAACAATAACTGAACTCCATTGTTTACAAGTAAAGTTAATAACCATTAATAAATCGAAATAAAATAAAATTAAACCACACAATTCAAATTAATATCAAATTCTTTTCTCTTTACATCTGGCACTGTTGCAACCTCACTTGGATATCCTACAGGAAGCACAAGCATCACTTTCTCATTCGAAAGTTGTCCCAGTAACTCCCTTATCTGTCCACCAGCATTAAGAGGCGTAGTAGTGACTGAGCATTATGTAGAATATCTACTGATGCGACTGCATACTTTTCAGGAAGATTTCCAGGCCCACACTTTCTTTCCAAATACTGCAGAAATGCAGTGACTTCTTTATTGTTAAAAGAACACGAAAGCAGTAGGAGACACTCAAATCCTTCAGGATTGCGATTTGTGCATTCAGATGTATAGAAACATAATCTGTACACAAATAAGTATGAAAATAATGTTATTGCAATCTAGATCTTTCTTGCTTCTTGTCTGTCACTATCAAAGTTGACTTCAACCAAAATGCTGCTGCTGTGTGAATTTGCGCATATAACCTCGGCCAAAAATTTTAAGCCAAAATCAGAGCATGGTAAGTATTTTCTTTTCTTGACAATGCCGCCACAATGAGTCTTTTTGGCTTTAAAACCTAAAAATAGTCATAATTATTGATATCCCACTAGTAATGGCAGTACTGTAGATATCTCATAGTAATAGCAAGAGTGGATTATACACTCTTGGTTGTTCCACTTCAGGCTCATTAACATGATACTGAGACTTGAATAAATTGATTAGATAAGATGCTTCCTCTAAATAGGGCTTCTCGTGATTCATATTCACAAACTTTAAATCATTCACCCACTTTTCACCCATCCTGTGATTGTAGTTGAGATACTCTTCCTGCTCTATGATGTCCCTTATCTTGCTCTTAACTCCAGGATCCTTAATGACAACAAATACCCACGGTTCGGAGTAAGCTCCCGAAGGTGAAGTCCCAGCTGTTCTTATGACGTTCTTTATGATGTTTACAGGGACTGGACGTGAACTGATCTGCCTAATGGAGCGACGCTTGTTTAGACTCTGATAAAAGGTCTCAGATCTTTTTAGCATCTCTGTTTCTGAGAGCTCCTCAAATTTATAAGGAATGTGAGGTGTGTCCGGTGAATGGAGAGCACCTACTTAACCCTTTTCATCAATATCTGGTACATCTTCTTTGAATTCAGATAAAGGGTCTTCTCCAGTTTCCTTAGCCACTATTTTTTTTTGTTGGATGGGGTCTCCTGCCTTTTAGCTCCCAGCCATAATGCTATAGCTACAGCTAACGAAAGAGTACAGATGTATGGTCAGTATGCAGCAAAGAAAGGAGCTTGGTTTCTGCAGCAGCCCCAGCCACACCTCCGTGACCTCCCCCTCCACTCCAACTCACGTGCAAAATGGCGTCTCAGAGTTACGGCTGCAAGCGACTCAAACTCGATCCTGAATTCGTTGACGAACAGCCAGAGAATGGTCACAAAGAACAAGAACACCAAGTCATCCCGGTACATCAGCTCTTTTCATTGGATGGTCCTGTAAAGGAGGACAAGGAATATTCATCACTTGATTCCCTACCAAAGGAGATCATACAAGAGATATGTATGTTACTGTCACTCAGAGATAAGATGTCCCTTAGACTAGTCAATAGACAACTTTACACGATATGTTCCGATCCTTATTTGTGGACAAACGTTTTCATTGATGATGCGTACCATAAGATAAATGCTCCATTCGTAAAATCAGTTTTAAAAACATGTCACCCGCATGTACAGTCACTCAGTTTAAGGGGACAGCTACCGTTCAGTCAGTATCAACTAAAAATACTCAACTGTAAAAATATTCATACGTTGAATCTGTATAGGTTTGAGATAAGTCTCAGTGCATTAAAGAAGATTTCTTCACCTTCATATTTACCTCACTTGCAGTACTTAACACTTGCTTCATGCAGTATCGAATTAGTTGTCATGTTTTCACACTTAAAAAAGCTTGTCATGGTTCAGAATGTCTCTGAACATTT